TCCCTCTCTCTCTCTCCACAGATGAATATTCTTACAAATTAGCAGAAGAAAGGAAGATTAAAAATGCAAGCCAATCATCCCATGACTTTAAGTTGAGGCATTTTGGATCTAACAAAAACTCTAAAAACTATTTAATATCATTTTCCATCACATGTTCAGAGACTGTTCATGCCTACATGCTGAAACTTACCTTTTGATTTAGAAAGAGTTTCACAGCTTAATTTCATATATACAGATATTTGAAGATAAGCATACTAGTAAGAACATAAAAATCAAGCTGATGCTCTGCTCCCCCCCCCCCCCTTGCAGGGGGATGCATGTTTGAACATGGGGTCCTACGTTTGATGAACCTCTCTACTTATTTGGCTAGGAAATCCCAGCTCTGAGTCAAAATTTGTTCTCTTGAGATCCTATTTCATTTTTCAAATTGGGCTGATGTAGGTAGAAAAAAGATCCCACCTCACTTTGGAAACAACTGGCTATACAAACGTGCACAATCAACATTTAAAACAGTACTTATAAAGTTTCAAAATATCATACATAATGAACTTGCAAGCTTAACTGACAGATGCATATCTCAATTTTTTTTTTTTTTAAAGTGAGAAAAATTTCATTCTCGCTAGTCAAATATATCTTATTTTAAATCACTCTCTGCCACAATACAGACCCGATTGTCTACTCACCCAGCCACAAGTCACAGAGTACAAATGATTTTAATATTCAGCATGCTATATAACCGTGAGGCAGGCTTTTCCATAAGAAAGGCATGACAAACCTCATGTTGTTGACACAAGTATCAGAAATCATTTTGCCCATTTAAACACTGAACCAGCTATTTGTTTGGATAGCCTATATTTATCTAGAAAGGGCTAGTGCATATAAATGCAATCGACCATGGTGGATTTAATATGTATACTGCATCCTGACATGGTTCCTGTCTGCAACTAACTTTGTACTTTTTTGACTTTGGATACCGATTCATTGGTCAATATTATAACTCTTAATTAAAACTTAATTACTTTTAATCTAAAATGTATTTTTCTCACAAACACCGAACGGGATCACGAGTATTACCCGACCTATTTAAGTAATTAAATGTCCTTTAACATACGTATAGGCAAACAATATGGCCTCACCTCTACAACAACTATCCACAATGCTTATTTTGAATTCAGTTACTGAATTATATGCAAATTCCGAAAACAATTAAAATCGTCCTGAATTTTGTTCAAAGAATTCAGCTACCTGTGCGTTCTTTGCAACTTCATATGCACCCACATATATATAAATCTATGATCAAATGGCACGTAATTATCTTCCAGAAACCACCATTATTAAGACTTACCCAAACGGGAGAAATCACAACTAACAAGAACGATTTTCAACAATGCCACTCACGCGCACTACCTTCGAATAATTATGCTCTTTTGAGGAAGAAGGAGTGAAAATAACCAAGACGATAACGAGGTTCGGATTTCCCTTGGAAAGAAAAGTAATGGCCCAAGACTCGAAAGAGACATTGAAAGTATGTGTTTTTCTCTCGGATCTGTCGATTATTTTCTCGTTTATGCCTTCTTCAGATTTCTGAGCTGTAATTTTGAAATTTGGACTTCATATTACATTAAGTCATTCTTTATTTTTCCCGAACTGTTTTGATCTGTCTGAATTTTATCCGACTTTCTATATAGTATATTGAATCAAAAGCGAGAGAGAAAATATAAATCACGACACAGAGAGAGAATAATCAAAGCTTGAACAGAAGTTTTTTGACGTTTTCAGATTCTGTGTATACATGGATATCGCCAGAATGGTCAAGCATTTAGAGAGAGGACTGGGGCCTTTAGAAAAATTACTAAAAAGTATGCTGAATTAGGTATGTGGCTGTGAATTGAACTGTGATCTGCAGTGCATTTGACTTTCAATGATTCCCCATTAAGGCTGCCCTTCAGGGAAGTATACCCCCCTCCCTCTTTGAAATTACCCTCTACAAGCATGGATGACAAAGGGTATGTCTGACAGGGAACATATTCCTGGTGATATCACCTCAGTTCCTAAAGCGTCCAGTACAATAATTTTATAAAAGACTAATGGGAAGGGGGGGGGGGGGGGGTTAGTAGCGAACCCTGGGGTCAGAGAAACCACTCCTTTTGAGATCGCTGGCTACAACCATGGATGACATCAGTGGCAGTTGTAGATATGATCATAGTGTGCAAGATGACATTATCCTTAAAGAAAAAATGACCAGGGATGAAATCCTGTGGAATACCTAGCAATCAAAATATCTATAAAAAATTTTTTTAAATGAAATTGCATATTTTAATACACAGTCTAAACATCAATTTCATTCTAATTTTCAGTATTTATTGATGCTCCAAACTCAGTTCCTCCTTTAGAGGATGCAGCAGATGGAGATACAGGTAGCTATAACTTTCTTGGTAGATTCACAATAATGTTTGCCTCAGTTTGAGGCCTTACTGTACTATATAGCCTAGGCCCACTGATTGATTAAATGTCTGATTCATTTATCTATTTGATTGTCTGATTAGTGGATAATATGTCTGATTTATTTATTTATTTATTCATTTATTTCAGTGGACCAGAGGGGTTGGTGGTTCTCCAGGGAGGATGACTACTTCCGTGCCCAGGATGACACTGACTGTTGTAAAGGGTTTGACCATTCACTACAGACAATACAGCAGGCTTTCCAGGAGCAGGTAATATATACGGTATTTCCTCTTAATCTTTGATCACCTTACATTTATGTGCACATTTTTTTCATGTTATACAGGTATTTATAATGACATGAAGTAAATTTCATCTGCAATAACCATGCTTTTCTTGTAATAAAGCAGGCAAAATATTTTATTTCAGTGAAATACATAAATTATCTTCGGCCAAAATAGACAAAAAAATGCATTTAAATGAAACAGTTTGTCCTTTGTATGAATGAATAAATGGCTAATGTATTAAACATTGTGAACCTCAGGTTTATCCTGAAGTAGACAATTTTTCTGAAAACTACTGTCTTGCCATATATCAGGGTCCATTTGATGGTGTGCTGGGGTTCAGCCAGGGGGCAGCAATGGTGGCTTTGATGTGTGGACTGAGAGAAAAAGACGAAGAAGGTAGGAAATAAGAGGTTTCATCTTCATCAGCAGCAGCAGCAGCATGATTTAGTGAACAGATGTGAAAATATGTCCACAATGCGCTGCTCTAGAACTCTCTGTCCCAGTCAAGAAGTTTGGAAGATCTTCAATTTCTCCATGAATGTCTCTTGTCTGAGTCAATATAAATTAATTGATTTTTCCCTTTTTGGTGTAATGCTTAGGATAAGAGACTTAAGAGATTACAAAAAAAAAATTACCAGTCTTCTTTGTATTTTAGTATTGCATAAATGACAACTTTTAACCTGCAAACCGCAGAATACAAAGAAAGTTATATTTAAGTTGACATTCGTTTGTTTGTGGACAAGATACCTCAAAAAGTTCACCACAAATTTATTTTGAAATTTTCAGGATATGCAGTTTTTCAGGAGGAAAGAAGTGACCACATATTAAACTAATTGGGTGTCTCTTAATATTTCATAAATTAAAAAAGTGTGATTTCATTATCTTAACTACCTGTGGGAGTGCTCTCTACTTTTTTGTTTTCTTCAGCTTGTCCATTCAAGTTTGACTTTGTGATGTTGGTGGCTGGATTCAAAAGTCATTCAAAGCCACATGAGGAACTGTACAAAATACCAATAACCTGTCCCTCCCTTCATGTGTTTGGGGATACAGACAAGGTCATTCCTAAAGGTAGGCATTTTTTTTATCTGATATTCATTTTATCTCTGCTTTTAAATTTTTTTCTGTCTAGTAGCTGGGTCTTCCACCCAGTTATTGTACCACCAGCGTTAGCGCTGGCGGTACACATGGTTTCGGTCTCGTCCGGATCGTTCCGCCGGC